GGTAACGTTACTGGTCTCAGGTTCTAGTAAAATTACTGTGGTGATTCAACAGTAATGTTACCGTGAAGTAGCAGTAAAAACCATTCTGGATTACTCATAAATCTTCTGAAGAGTGGATGGAGGGATCTTTGAAACAGTTTTGTTTGAATAGCTAGGCCTGGTATATAAATTTTAAATATATGTTTTAAGTGGTCAAGAGGAATAGCTGGATGTTAATGGACAAAAAACTGGAATTAGTTCTGAATACTATCAACATAACTGCAAGTGATAGAGCTGTGAAGAGGATAATTTCTGGTAGAATCAGAAAATATGTTTTTATCCCTTTCATGTTTTAAAATGCTTATCGTTTGATAGCATTATAAATAAATATTAAAGCAAAATAACAAAATCACTCTGTTCCAGGGTTTCCTGTTTCAAGCTCTGTTCAAAACAGAGAACCTTTTAGAAGCCAATATATTTTTGCTTTTTAATGTAATCATCCATATGTCATTATCAATGACTTGACTACTAAAAGGATATTGATTCAAACATAAATAAAACACTAACCTATTCATTTCAAAAGCTGCCTAAGAAATGATAATGCACAAATCTAATCTCTGATTACAAGTTAGGACTAATTACAATCCAGAAAGTCATCATAAATCCAATAGTCATGGTCATGCCAGCAAGCCCATTTCAGAATTGGCTCCAGCTCAGAAGTCACTACAATTTTTGGCAGTGGAGGTCCACAAAGTTAGCTGAATTGGCGATCGAGAATTCAAGCAGATTTAGATTTTTAGAGATCCAGTGACATTTCTGCTTGTAAAACACCATCAAACTTATTGGACGAGGTTGAGAATCAATAGTCTAAACTTTCTCCACCAAGCTGGAATGTTTCCAGCAAACTCATTTTCACTAATATCAACTTCTAGTAACTCTGTACAATTTTAGAACATTGGTATTGCTCAAAAGGTTGTTTTCACGAAGTGTAGCATCTAAGAACTAAAGTTCCAGTTGAGGTTGGAAGGTTACCAGAAAATTTATTGTTATCGAAATTCAAGCTTGCAAGTGTTTCCAATTCATCCAGCAATCGTAATTCCCATCTAAAAGTTTTCTCTAAGGACTACTTTCAATCAGGTTCTTTGACTCATTCATCCATCACAAGAATGGAAGATGAACTGAAAACAAGCATTACTGGAAAGATTGTGCATACGACTGAAGTATAAGAGGCAATGGACTGACAAATTGTTTAAGCTCAAATCTAGTAAATTATTGGTTAACTCAGTTAAATTCGGAATTTCCCAAGAGTTGTTCTGAGATAGATTATATGATATATTGGAAAGAAATTCAAATAACTAAATTGAAAGAGATCTGAAATTCCTGAGTCTGATATATCTATAAACTAATCCTTTGTAATGGAGCGATAATGGAAATTGAGGCCTAAGACAAGATCTTAGTCCTAATAGTTGGAGTTTAAAGGAGGGATCCCCTGAGGACTACTTTCAACTAACAGGATTTCCAGATACATCAACATAACAATCTTTTGATAATTTTTTATTAGAAGATCTAAAGATTGCAACGATGAAAGTTCTCCTAATTAAGGATAGGACTAGAACCAGAGTTATAACTAGAATGTCAAATTCTTAAATTGTCCAAGTTGATCTGTACTGACCAAAAAGTTGGTTCTCACTCAAATCCAGAAACTTGGAATATCATCATCCAGTTTGATACTTGAGATAGAAAATGATCTCAATTGGAAAATCTTCCCAAAGATTTGGAATTCTCCCTTCAAATTATTATTTGACAGATCAAGTGTATTGAGAGAAGTTCCCAGACACGTACGGAAATTGTACCAAGGAAATTATTGACATTAAGAGAAAGGTCTGAGAGACTAAATTTGTAAACCCTTGGTATTGTAGAACCAACGGATTGAATGATAATCAAGTTGCCGCAGAGATGTCAAATTTGTAATTCCATCTGGAATTGGTCCTCGATGCTTTATGCTAGATTTCATAAAATCTGCAATAGTCATATCACATTCTTCTGCTGAATCTTTTGCTTCAGCCACAATAGATTTTGGAAGGAAAACCCGGAGGAACCAAGGAGTCACTCCCTTCCCTCAAACTCTTCAGCATGGAACTAGAATGAGTAGAGGTACCATCAATTTTATTCATTCCATCAAACCTCCTTGGTGTCATTTTAAACCTTTTGATAAAGTTCTTTGCATTTGTTCCTCCCAATATCTTTGGCTTTGTCTTAAAGCTTGATCAAGTATCAGCTTCCTTCTTTCCTTTTGCCATCTCCATGATCTTTTTAGTACCAGTGAAGCTACACTCACTAGCACCCTGCAGACATGAGATAGATTGTTTCCACCACTCTGAGTATTGGCTTGTTACATCTCCCTCATTTAGTCGTCATGGAATATACAAATCGTAACAAATTGGCTTACTGTAATAGTTCCAAGCAATAGAAGGAGTCTCATTGATTCGAGCAACACAAGGTGGAAGATCTTGGTCCATTCCAAATTGCATGGCAACACGATGTGGAGGGTATTGCTCTATACATTCAAAGCCAACTAGCTTAGAGACCCTCAGGCAATGAGCAAATGACTGTAGTTCTTCAGATAAATTAGGATCAAATGAAATCTACATTTCTTTTTCTCCATAAAACTTGGGAGAGTTCCAATTTGTAACAGGTTTTACATAGGGACGCCAATCGAAATCGTCTTTCGCTGAATCCATTACTTTCCTCACATTCTCAACAACAACAAATTGCTCATGCCAACAAGCAAATCTTCGTTCACCCATGTTGATCAAATTAAGCTCTGGCCTCAAGTGTAAAAACCTTTCGCAAGCCCAAGTTTGGACCAACTGAAATGGTGAACGTACAGTAACAGCTAATTCATTATCTTCATCCCCCCAATTGTCAAACTTAGTTAAAGCAACAATCTTCTCTTTCAATGAACTCAAATCTTTGTAAATACTGGCAAGAACAGTAGGTGCAAATGCAATGGAAAGGATGGTGATGAAGAGACGCGTCGGCAGCCGAGGATTCCGGCTGTGGTTCACGGCGGCGGATGGTGAAAGGCGACGGAAATGCTAGGAAACGCTGAGGAAAGGACGGTCGGCACCCGGGGAAGCTGAATCGACGTCAGAGAAGACGAAACGTCGCCGTAAAAACGAAGAATCGCAGCTGGAAGGTGGAACGCCGCGACGGCGCAAAACGGTGATGTGAGACGTCGACCAACAGGTCTCCGCAATGGGAAGAAGAAGTCAAAGCTTGGGGAAGCTGAAACGACGTCGAAGAAGACAAAACGTCGCCGGAAAAACGAAGAATCGTGGTCGCGCAAATGGTGATGAATGGAAACCGCGGCGGATCTTCAAGGAGATGATGGAGGTGATGAAGGTGACGGCCGATCGGAGTTTTGGAAGAAGAAGGGTCGCCGGAGATGGTCGAAATCCAGTGGAGAGGAGATGAGCAAGGGCTTACCACGGTTCCCTTTTATTTTATAGAAAATGTGGATAATCTCAGTCCTTGTACATTTAAAAAGTGACAAAATACACCCTTTGAAAACATAACATTTTCCCCCTAATAAACATAAATGAGACAGAATCAACCATAATCCATAAACCACAACCTAATATCAACTCACACCATTTCCAAAAATCATTCCAAAATGCAAAATTAGTAAGATAACATTAAAATGTGATTTTTCATCAATAAATTCAAAAATTCACAGATTGTCTCAATATATATTCAATTAAACCATAACAAAGGGTATTAAATCACTTTAATGGAGTCATTGTAACAACCATCAAACTCGTCTCACTTCAACGCCAAGTTGTACCACTTCCTCCATTGTTGGAACTAACAAATGATGTTTAAAAAACCGTCTTTTGAAATGGGTATGCGGGTTTCTTTGTGAGAAAGGGAGATAGAAAGTCCAGAGTCGGTCTTGCAGATAAAAAATTGAAATCTGTTTATGGAAGACAGAAAAATGTGGGATTTTTGAGTACTAGAAGCGGTGGTGATGAGGTTGATCATGACATTTTGCCTTTAATATTTTATTAATCACATTTATGTCATCTATTCAATTTTTGCAGGCCCCATTAAAACAAAAAATTTGATCATTCTACAACAATTCTAGTCACTGATCAGTGTGTTAAAGCAATGAATGCATTAACATAATCTTTTTGATTTGTAAAAAAGATAGCAGATATCATTTCATGACAAACGTTCAAACAATTACTCACTTCCTTTATGGTACATACAAAATAAGCCCCAAACGAAAAAAAAAAAAAAAAANAAAAAAAAAAAAGAGTACTTCTCCCCCAACTTATTTTTTTTAGCTTATAAGCTCAACTTATAAGCTCAAAAAAATTATAAACAAACATGTCAGCTTAATTTTAAAACTTATAAGTAAGTTTAATCAGCTTATAAGCTTAGACAAATATCCCCTAAATCACTTTAACGGAGTCATTGTAACAACCATCAACTCTTGTCTCACTTCAACGCCAAGTTGTACCACTTCCTCCATATTGGAACTCACAAATGATGTTTAAAAAACCGTCTGTTGAAATGGGTATGCGGGTTTGTTTGTGAGCAAGGGAGATAGAAAGTCCAGAGTCGGTCTTGCAGATCAAAAATTGAAATCTGTTTATGGAAGACAGAAAAATGTGGGATTTGTGAGTACTAGAAGCGGTGATGTTCAGGCTGATCATGACATTTTGCCTTTAATATTTTATTATTCACATTTATGTCATCTATTCAATTTTTGCAGGCCCCATTAGAACAAAAAATTTGATCATTCTAGGACAATTCTAGTCATTGATCAGCGTGTTAAAGTAATGAATGCATTAACATAATCTTTTTGATTTGTAAAAAAAGATAGCAGATATCATTTCATGACAAACGTTCAAACAATTACTCACTTCCTTCATTGTACATACAAAGTAAGCTCCAAACGACAAAAGACACAAAAAAAAAATAATAAAAAAATAAAAAATAAAAAATAAAAAAAACTAGTAACATTTTCTTACAACACTGCCCAGTTTGTCTTGGAGACTATTCAAGAATTGGCAATACAAGTATCTCCATCTTCGGATGACAAGTAGAGAACCTATAAAACTCCAGAATCCCACAATAAATCCAAGTGCAATGCTCACAAAGAACCAGTTCACTTCATCTTCATTACCATCTTTCTCTCCTCTGTTCTGATTATTGATTGTACAATTATTAGGAAGTGGAGGCCCACAAAGTTGGTTTCCTGTCAAACAGGATGCATCAAAGCCACTTAATTGAGTGCTTGAAGGAAATCTTCCTGTTAAGTTGTTGTTGGACAAGTTCAAGTCACTCAAAAATGTCAAACTTGAAATGTTTTGTGGGATTTCACCTGAAAGTTGATTTCTGGAGAAATCGATAGACTCTAGAGATGTCATAGCACCAATGTTCTCCGGAATTCTTCCAGTAAAACCATTGTGTGATAGGTTTAATGTCTGCAATTCTGAAAGATTTGTCACTTCCATAGGAATCTGTCCAAAGAAGTTATTTTTTGAAAGGTCTATTCCTCTCACGAACTTTAGAATTGTGCTGTATTCAACAATGCGACCTTTCTTCACAAGTAGTTCACTCTCCAAATATGTTGATAAATAACCTTCATCAGGTTCATAATTCATATTGTTTTCCTCATTGGAGCTCTTTGTCTTCATGGCACTGAAGTTATTGATGCATCCTGGTATGGTTCCAAAGAAGTTGTTATCTGCTAGGTCTAAGATTTGTAGAGAACGGAGATTACAAAGTTCTTTTGGTAAATGGCCACAAAACTTATTTGATCTAAGGTTGAGAATCTTCATTCTTGAAAATCTCCCTCCAACCCACACCTTGAGATTTCCAACAAACTCATTTTCACCCAAATCAAGTGACACCATCTTTGTACAATTTTTGATTGACACAGGAATTGTTCCAGAAAAGTGGTTTTTGCGAAGGTTTAACCATTTAAGAGAACCTAAAGTCCCAATAGAAGCTGGAAGCTTACCCGTGAATCTATTGTTACCTAAATTCAAGACTTTTAAGGATTTCAAATTCATCCAACAATCAGGTATAACTTTTGACAAAAAGTTGTTATTAAGGATGAGAATTTGCATCTTGTGCTCTGACTCATTCATCTTATGACACCTAGATTCAGTGACTGCAATGTTGCAAGATTTGTCACTTCCATAGTAATCTCTCCTAAGAAAGTATTTCTGAAAGATATATGACTCTCACAAACTTCAGAATTGTGTTATATTCAACAAGTTGACCTTTATTCACAGAAATGAATCCTCCACGTAACCTATATCCATTTCATGGTCATTAGAGCTCATTGTCATCATGGCATTGAAGTTATTGATACATATCGGTATGGTTCCAGAAAAATTGTTGAGAAATATTACTAGTGTCCACAATTCTAATTACTTTAGTTATTCACTCTGTTTCGGGCCCCTGTTTCAAGTTCAAATTATAAATTAAAGAGAAAGTTTGTTCATCATTATTAAATCATCAAGAAATTAAGAATGATTTTAACAATATGTCAACACCATCTGTAATGCTTGGAGCTAGAGGTTATTTATAAAGTAAATAGAAAGTATCATTTCATATTACAAAGACAACTACAACTTTTCATCCATCCAATTAATTTCAATGGTTCACATTAATAAAGTTTGTAGACTCCAAGCCAAATCTTATTCAGCTGACCCGAGTAAATCTATTCATCCATGGAACTTCTCATGAATGACCAATTTAATGGCTTAGCTTATCCAACTCATCTGGAACAGAAGTCTGAAAAGTAGGACCTCACATATCTACGGTGTAAGTTTCAAGAAAGTCTTACTGTTGATTTAAAGGACATTTAATTAGTCAATAAAGAAGGATTGATCATGATCCAAAAGATCTGTACATCTCTGCATCTCTAGATCAATTATGTAAACATGGATGATCATCTCTGCCACAAACTAAACCCTAATAGCTAGAAAATGTGAATGATGATATTATCAACTGCAAGATATCAACAATAGCATATGAGAGTCAAACTCAGAAAGTTGCATATCATTTTCAGTCTTCAATCGCTTCAGTTGACTCCAAGTCAGTTAAAGGAGGACAAAATACGAATCAACACTAACTAGTGTGTGTATGTTGGTGCGAATTAATAGTTAAAGCTGGATTGATAGAGAACTAGTGGTGACTTCTCATCACACATTTTGGAAAAGATGCAAATTCTTCTAATTTTAGTGGTCCAATTAACAGAGTAGACTTCAAGTCAATTAAAGAGGACAGAATATCAAACTTTGATTTAATTAGTCAATAATGGTTACAATAGAAAAGTATCAAAGTTTTAATTGAACTTTCTAACCCCTCCTTCAAGTTTAATATATCATTGAAGTGAATGAATGATGGAGAAATGCTGGCAGTACTTGCTTACTTAACCTCTCTGTTACGTCTTCTTCTTATCACACTATTAGCCCAAATCAACAAAAGCTTGATCAATGGCTGAAATCACGGGTGTTAACCAAAATCAAGCAAAGATTGATCAATGGCGGAAATCAAGGTTGTTAATTCCTAACTAGAGAGACACGGAATAACCTCAGGTCACAAGACTAACAGTATATCTTCTATTTTAAGAAAACATCATTCTGTTGATCCATTCTTTTACGTGGTTGCAAAATTATATTTCAAATTACACCTTCAATCGCACACACACACGAATAGAGTTCCCACATTTATTATAACTCTTCATTTGATAAATGAAGTACATAAACTGACACAGCTTCACACAAAAATTTTACTAACACTTTCTTACAACACTGTAAAACATGTAGCCAAGGGAGTCCAAGAAATCACAATATATAAACCTACATCTTCTGATGATTAATAAAGGACCTATAAAACTCTAGAAGCAAACAACAAATCCAAGCTCCATGATTACATAGAACCAATCCACTTCATCTCCATAATCGTCAATTTCCTCTCCATTTTTGTGGTCAGGTACAGGTACTGAAATAGTATCGTCAGTGCAATTAGGAAGTGGAGGTCCAAAAGTTTGTTGCCAATAAAGTAGGATGCATCAAAGCTTTGAAGTTGAGTGCTTAAAGGAATTCTGCCGCTCAAGTTTTTATAAGATAAGTGCAAATGATGCAAGATTACAAACTTGTAATACTCTGTGGCATTTCACCATAAAGCTGGTTTGCAGAGAAATCAATTGAGATTAATGATCCCATAACACCAATATTCTTTGGAATTCTTCCCGTAAGAGCATTGTGTAACAAATTTAATGACAACAATGCTCTAACAATCTATTTGCGAGTTACCAAAACAAAAATAGCTTATTAATGTACCTTGAGACCCTGAAAGAAAAGAAAATATAGATGATGTTCATCATCTATTCATTTCTAACACTTAATAAAAATTTAATCAACTCATCTGTAATGTTGGACAACATATCATCTATTAAAAATTTAATGAACGACAAGTCATCCATGGTATAAACTTTCTATAACTTGCCATTCATAATTATTTAAAGTTTTTGCTTAGTTTGTAGAGAAATAGTGTCCTGATTGTAAGTTTTATTCATTCTGTTTCGGATCCCTATTTCAATTCCTATTCAAGTTAAGAACTAAAGAGAAAATTTGGTCATCGCTATGACCTCCTAGGAAATTACTGCGTTCTAGGATCCCCAGTTCCAAGCTCTGTTAAAGAGAAATTATATATGGTGCTAAAGAGAAACTATGGTTATGCTAGATCAATTCCATATAAAGAAGTAAAATATGAAAGAGCAGTGTTTGATATATCATATATCTAAAAAATAAAGACCTTTCAGAATGAACCTATAACGCAGACAATTTACTGTTAAAATCCCTTGAGAGAAACCAACATTTGACTTTTACCCCAAAAAATAAATAAAGAAGAACCCTTTTCTGGAGCAGAAGCAAACAAACTTTGATATTTATTGTAACACTTCAGATAATCATGATTGTAGTACATTAAACAAAGTACAGACATAGCTTCAAACAGAAAACAACCCACAAAAGTTTCTTACAACACTACCAGATTTGATCCAAAGACTATCTAAAATATTATAATACATAAACCCCCATTTTCTGCTGACGAGTAATGGACTTATTAAAGCCCAGAGACCCACCAGAAATCCAAGTGCCATGCTTACATAGAACCAGTCCACTTCATGTTCATTACCATCTTTTCCATCATCGTAGATTGATGTTCTTTATAGCATCCATCATCCATGGAACTTCTCATGAATGACCAATTGCTCCGTTTATCCAGCTCTTCTGGAATAGAAGTCTGAAAAGTAGGACCTTACAGTGTTTACCTGGAAATTAATGTTACCTTTTACTCTGTTACATACAGCAGTGGAGGGATTATATTGTAATCTACTCAACCACCCCTGCAATAGAAAATGTGAATGAGAATATCATCAATTGCAAGAGACCGATAATGGCATTTCACAGTCCAATTTGAGAAGGTTGAATATGGTTTTCAGTGTTCATTGACTTCTGTAGAATGTAGACTCCCAAGTCAATTAAAGAAGACAAATTTGGAAAACCCAATCACAGATTAAAGCGGAAAGTTATTGAAGTTATCTTTTGATTTCTTTGTTTCACGTAGTCCCCTGTTTTAAGCTCTGTTCGAAACAGAGATCAAAGAATTTAGATTGTGATTTTACTCGTGTCTTACCTGTTCACAAAGTCTTAAGGTGGACCAGAACCCAAGTTGAAAATTTCTCCATTCTCTGACTTGCTTTACATCTCACTGTTTATAATTATAACCTGTTACGTACGGCATGGACACCAAGTAATGAAGACAATATTTATAGCTCTTATTTTTCTAACTTCGTCCTTCTTTTTCAATATCTCGTACTTATATCATGGAAATGCGTAGAAAATTTGTAACAACATTTCGGTGGATCAAACTCACACTTGCATATTAGCGGTCCCTTCAGGTTTCTTTTCCGGTATCTTTGTCTTTGTTTTTGTTGAAACAGTGATATTTTGCTGGAAATATAACTGAAATTCAGTTTGTTTTGAAAAAACCGTTCGGCGCCAAAAGAGCTCTCTGTTTTGCCTTGCATTCTGCCGTGTAAGAGCTGCTGAAGTTGATATGTTTTGGTGATAAGTTTAGTTGCTCTTAGCTGTGATTAAGGGTGTATTAGTTGTAAACTTTGTTTTAAATTTCAAACTTTTAGATATCTCTGAATAGTTGGTGTAACAGTGAGTAGATTTGTTGTATAAAAGTGTAATGTTATAACAGTGAGTAGATTTGTTGTATAAAAGTGTAATGTTATTGTTGTATGAAAGTGTAATGTTATTGCACTATGCTTTCCACCTGCAACGTCATCTGCTCCTACTGTCTCAGTAACTTGCTACTGGTACCTCATGTTGCAGTAGGGTTACTGTAATGCTACAGCATGACTACCGTGCCTCAGCTTCCAGTGATATCATCGTGATGTTCATTGCAACCGTAATGTTACCAGAACCTGAGGCACCGGTAACGTTACCGCGATGGTACATTGCAACAGTAACGTACAAAGTGTCTTGAGGTACAGTAACCATACAGCGATGGTGCAGCATAATGGTAACGTTACTGGTTCCTCAGGTTCTAGTAACATTACTGTGGTGATTCAACAGTAATGTTACCGTGAAGTAGCAGTAAAAACCATTCTGGATTACTCATAAATCTTCTGAAGAGTGTGATGGAGGGATCTTTGAAACAGTTTTGTTTGAATAGCTAGGCCTGGTATATAAATTTTAAATATATGTTTTAAGTGTGTCAAGAGGAATAGCTGGATGTTAATGGACAAAAAACTGGAATTAGTTCTGAATACTATCAACATAACTGCAAGTGATAGAGCTGTGAAGAGGATAAAGTTGCTGGTAGAATCAGAAATATATGTTTTTATCCCTTTCATGTTTTAAAATGCTTATCGTTTGATAGCATTATAAATAAATATTAAAGCAAAATAACAAAATCACTCTGTTCCAGGGTTTCCTGTTTCAAGCTCTGTTCAAAACAGAGAACCTTTTAGAAGCCAATAGATTTTTGTTTTTTAATGTAATCATCCATATGATCATTGATCAATGACTTGAACTACATAAAAGGATATTGATTCAAACAT